TCTAAGGCAATTAAACCTCCTTGTAACTTCAGAGAGATCTGGATCATGAGTTTCTCATGAAAAGGGTAGGTGATAGCAACAAGAATCATATAGAGAATGGAAGAGTTGGGCATAATATGCCTTCCTCCATCCCACAAATATTTGTGAAATAGATTGTTTTTCTGAAGAGAAGGGTGAGAAGACTAGCACTGAGAGCCTGGGAGCTCTGAGCTGAGTAGAACCCAAAACCTCTCCAACAAACAGTTTACTGTATGTTTGTTCTGCAGTGGAAAATGATTCCACTGGAGCATTCCAGCTGCCCAGGTTGAAGATTTTGGTGATAATTCAGTGCAAGATGCATTGTATTATATACATGTCTTTACATATACGATGTGTATCAGGTCAACAGGTGGTGAACACACTCAGCAGCTTGCAAGGCTGAGTCTTGAAGAATATCTATGCTACAGAGCGCAGGGTGTTACCTGGACTAGCTCAGTTACTGGAAGGAATTGAGAGAAGGTGGCACTCCGCTCATTGCAGGTGCATTTTTCCTGCTCCTTAAGTGAGTTTTACAGTGCAGTGAGTTCTGCACTGTCCTGAGCAGGCTGCTTCCAGGATCTGAAACAGCTAGTTCAAAGATACAGGTATTACTAAGTCATGCTGCAGTCTACTGTGCAGACACAGTCTCATTTATTTTTAGGTGATGTTCTTAGACCAGTATTGTGAGATACTTGATCTGGTCCATCTTTGTATTTAAGTCCAGCAAAACCAAGACATCCAGCTATGCATATAGGTACACCTGGCATTTTGTTGTTATTTCAGTATCTAAAGAACAACGAAATCAGAAAAGTGGTTTGAATTTGATACAGAAAAATCATTGTACCAAAGGAGCTTAAACTTAAATGTGTTATTAATCATGAATGTTCTTGGAAACCAGTGTGTTTAGTTGGGGCAGCAAGCTTAAAAAATACTGGAGCCAGATGGGCTGAATCATACATCAGTGTGCAGCCTTATCTGCTGAGAAATCAAACCAGCAAGTGGAATGTGGAAACCCTTTCTAAATCCTGCAATAGTACATTTTTGCTTCTGATGTAAGCTTCCCCCATCTTAGATTTACATATTCCAGGGTGTCCTAAAAAATTTTAGATCTTTAACTAAATTCTTTGATTTGCAATAGTTCCATGTAGACATTATATAATCTACAATAAATTTTCCATTTATAAAGGCACTGTCCATAGTAGTGCCATAAAAGACAGCTGCAGCTAAATGCTTTAAGAACTTGTACGTGAAGTTTATTTTCATGAGAGGAGGCAGGAGGTCTGAAGTCCACTCTAGCTCAAGAGCTGATCCAGCTCTAAGAACGATGGTGAATTCTCTCCCTGACTCTCTATACATCACCTCTCCTCTGATGATGCCTGGAGCATCCCGAGGTGGAAGGAAGGAGGAGTTCAAGCTCAGGAGCATGTAATGTCTTTTTGGGTCTTCCTAATGTGTAAAAACAGTCCCAATGAATGTGAACCTATACTGGAACAGGTTGCCCAGAGAAGCTGTGGATGCCCCCTCCCTGGAAGTGTTCAAGGCCAGGTTGGATGAGGCTTTGAGCAACCTGGTCTAGTGGAAGGTGTCCCTGCTGCTGGCAGGGGGGTTGGAACTGGATGATCTTTAAGATCCCTTCCAACCCAAACCATTCTGTGATTCTGTTTTTGGTTACGTATGTGTGATGGGAAGAATCTGCTTCAGATAGTAAAATACTTTTCAGAGCTGCAAAAGGGAGGAATATCTAGTTCTATATAAGACACAAGGTCTGGATTTTTCCAGTCCTAGAAATAATAGGTTTTAAAAAATAGTTAGCAGTGAATCTGTGGTAGAAGCTGGTAGGACTGGTAGAAGATGCTTCGTAACGCATGTCTGACAACTACTTAAGATTCATGGTGGCTAGTGCCAGGGAGACAGAACACAAACACTGCATCTCTTTGTGTCAGCATGTCCAGTGTCACTATGGATGCAGGAGACATTAATTCTAAGGGGAGAGCAGTGCCAACTTTTCTCAAAGGAATCCCTTCAACAGCTCCTCCACTTAGGTAGTTATGAAGTTCAGTTTCCAAAGTTGCTGCCTCCTGGCACTACCTCTGCTTCATTAAATAAGGAGGCAGTTATTTGGGCAGTTACACTCTACAAGGTCTGCAGAAAGGCAGGAGGAAGAGCCCAAAGTCACTGTGACTAGCACTACTCATTCTGAAATGCAGCTTGAGAAACTAAGGGGAAACATAACATGATGGAATATAATGAGCATTTATGAGAGTAATTCGAATGGATGGCTAATGGCCAGAGCTCTGGCACATTCCGCTAAAAAATAACCAGGGAAACCAGAGAAGTGAATTTCCTACATATCATGGGATGCTGCACAAAAGACATTGTAAGCCAGACACACAGGAATGGAAAGCTGGCATAAGATGTGCAAGAATGCATGAGGTTCCTATTCAGATAAGGCATGAACATTACCACTAAAGACACAGCACCAAATATGAGATACGTAATCACTTCCAAAAGCAGAATGCAAATAACCCCTGAAATCACAGGAGATTTCTGGTCCTCTTTTGCCTGACACTGGTGCAGATCCATCTGAATTACAGATTCGATTAAGGAAAAAATAAACCTTAATGAGACTCTCATTTTTAATGAGATGCTACCCAGCTAGCAATTTAATGGCCCACCACAGGTAGCAGATAGACTGTAGATAGACTCTAGGAGCAGTTAAGTTAAGGGAACGGATCACAGGTCAGGAAAAGGCTCATTCTGATAATTTCATGGATTTATCAGTTTAAACACACAGTACAAAATTCTGGCTGAAGAATGAATAGCAAGAACTTCATTTGATAAGAAGAACTTGAGACTTTACACGGGCCCTTACTCTTCCTTACTAAGTCATTGTAGAATGTTTTAAAATCTTGATAGGTATCACAACATTTACAGCCTCATGAACAGAAAAAAGCCAAACAAAGCTTCCTGCCAAAGTTCACTGCCAAAGAGCACTTGAAGCAAAACCAGTCAGTCTAGAAGCATTTATGTTTCTATACTAAATACTGTAAATATATTAAAAAAAAAGTTCCTGACCCCAAATGGCTATTACAGAGTGAGAGTGGGATTTCTGTGATTTGACTGAAGCTGTCAATAAAGTAAGCATCTAACGTAACCTCTTTGCCTGTGCTCCCTCAATAATCAGAGGAGAGAGACAGGCATCTCCAGGGAAAAATTCTTCCCATTCTGGGTAACAGGATGAATCACCCTCTGGGGACAGCATGTTTCCAACAGCTGTAAAGGGTATCTAGGTGATTCCCTTGCCAACTGAAGTTTAGATTACCTGGAAAAACAGACCAGATTTTGGGCACACCAGTCCTTTTGATCTGAACAGAAAAAAAGGGTTCATGTACCAGCACCTTACCACTTAATCTAACAGTACTAGCTGGTCAAATAAAGTACAATACCTTACAAACTTCCTTTCCTATGTATTAGATCATCATAGACAAAACTCTACCATCAACTAGGTGCCAAAGTGTTAGATCTAAAGCTGAATGGGATGAATCTCATCCCAGGACACAGGAGTGGCATTGTGGCATCGGATGAGTTATGCGCTTCAAATGCTTCTGCCTCATCACTGATTAAAAAAGGATTCTAGACACCTAGATCAGATATTGATATACACATCTGATAGACAGATGTACACACTGTAAGGACAGACGAACTCTACCAAAAATCGATGGGTGGGTGCCATTTATTCTCCAGTACATGCAATGAACACACTCCAATCCCAGCTGAACAGCAAACTGACTTGAGCACTCATGTTCCTCCACCACTGCACAGTGCCTCCTGCTCACAGGTTTAGGGCAGGGAACAGCTTTTTTCCTCAGACAATGAAACTCTCTGGAGAAAGTAAAATAAAACCCCTTTCTATGATGCTGCATGAATACTCTTTTATAAATGGAAATGAGGGGTGCCACTAAGACAGACGTTTAGGGAAAAGCTCCAGTCAAATCTACCAGCCATTAGGCCATGTCGGGAATGCTGTAACAGCCTCGTGAAAGATCCTGCTTAGTTTCTTTCATTCAGTGGCTCTTAATAATGAGCATATAATAAATGTACAGTCTGCAAGAATTTACTATACAGTATCCAATTGGATTTATATAGTCATAAACTTCTACAGCACTGCTTCTATGATTTACAACAGTCTCTACTAATTATGAAGCTATGCCTGGATTTGAGATGTAAAAGGCAAATGTTACTAGACTGGTTGTACAGTGATACTATACAAATGCACATTTGCCACAGCAATTTTCAATTGCTTGTTAACAGAGAACCACTGCAAATAACCATGTCTTTTAGCCTGCTCTTATGAAAAGCACCAAAAGCAGAAACCTAGGAAGTTTGTGGGATGGGTTTTATTGTGATGGAGTTTAGAGATAAGGGAAGGAGTGAGGAGTGGATAGTCCATTGTCCTGGTTTTTGCTAGGATAGGTTTAATTTTCTTCTTAGTAGCTAGAAAGCACTGTTCATTATTATTCTAATTTTATTTTTACTCTAATTATTAAATTGTTCTTATCTCAACCTACAAGCTTCCTGACCTTTACCCCTCCAATTCTCTCCCCGATTCCCTGGGTGGGGGGGAAGGGGGCAAGGGGGGGGCAAAGCTGTGAGTGATTCTGTCTTGTTTGGCTGCCAGCTAAATTAAACTATCACATCCATGGACTCCATCAATGAAACTTCTGCTACCTTCTGCCTGGATTGTTGGGGACTGGACTTGGTAGCTTACCTGATCTCCTCCCAAATCTATACTTCTAATTTCCTAAAAAGAAACCACCATAAGAAATACTATTACTTCCTATAGGACAAGCCTCTCATGACCTAAATGGATACAGAAGAAAGTTTACTTCGTAGTTTTCCAGCACAGACATTTAATTTTACTGTTACTCAGCATATTAACTAACTATTTCAGAAAGGACTGTATGTTATTTAATAGGAATTACCTGGGCATCGTGGGCAGCACAGCTGTGGTACATGCACAGGGGAAGGACAGTGTAGACTTGGGCATCTTATTCTGCTGCATAATACGTTTCCATTCTGTAGGTGGAACATAGTACAATACTTCAATTAAATAGGTTGTCTTACCAATTTCAGTGTTCTCTGAATTATTCTGCATCTAGGTATTTTAAAAACAAATGCCTTTTTACAGTGTTCCGATTTCACTCACACCAGGAGAAGCCCAGACTATTTCACTGCCTCTGAATTTATGCTGGTGGTTGGAATGTAGCAGAAATCCATACAAACCTTCAAATCAGAGGAAGTACCTAAAAATTGATTGCAACAATCTTCATTTGTGTTCTTCTTTGGAGCACATTAAGCTTAGGAATTGCATTTCCAAAACTAAGTCACAGATAATGAACGGTAGGTCTCTGAGATATCCCCTCCTGAGGGTTAGTTCAAGACCGCAAGAGACAATAGTGTCTGTAATTGTTCCTGAAACCTGTGGAGAGTCTTTTGTTTTCATTTTATGGGTTCCCCAGTAGACAAAAAAACCCAGTTGGTAAGTAGCCATTTTTCTAAGAAATACGAGCAAGTCTTGGGAATAGTGTTCATTATTCATGTCATTAACATAATATTCTATTTGACCACATCTAAGTTTGCTTTGTAATTAAAACATAGGGAATTTTCATTCTCCAGTGTCTGTAACCAGAAAAGCCTATCCATTTCAAATTCCCATTTCCCATTTATAATTCATCCTCTTAATTTAGCTCTGAGTTGCTCATGTTTATAGCAAGAAAGATCTTTCCATATGAACACTGATACTATGCTATGACTGTCGTTTTAGGTGGTATCAGGAATAAACCCACTCCATTTTCATATGCCTTCTGGAGCACCGAGATGCTTCCAGTGGAGGTGCAGACTTTCTTAGATAGCATGTTTATAGGCTTGTCTAGCCATCTCTTCCCAACTAATCCATTGACAGACCACAGGTTAGAATCATACTGTTAGGTCATTACTACCCACAAACTACATTTGTGCATCTGCTTTGGAAAGAGACACTAAAAATGGTATCACCATCTGTTTCCAGTGATGACTGAAATTTAAATATACTGATTTTATAGAGGAGGAGCAAATTTTAGGCTATAGACTCTTTGCAGGATAAGGACTATCACTGGTCTGCACAGCTCCTTGCCCAGTAGACCATCATCTGAGAGCCTGTAAAGCACTACCAGAGAAGAAGGCTGGCACTGCCTGCTGGCCTGGCTCCGTGTTGCTTACTTGACTTGTTCCATGGCATTACTCTCTTTTTAATTATTAGTCCTGTGAAATCTCCTGAGGTGAACGTTTACTTTCTGTGCATGATCAGCTCTGATAAAAATTCTACAGACCTACTTCGCTACTCAGGGCTGCCTGCAGTGCTCCACTGTTTGCAGCAGGACAGAACTATTTTAACTGACCTTGTGCTTGGTAAGACTGACTTTATGCTTAGGTTCACAGTGATATTTGGGAGACCAAGCCCTACTGACTAGAGGAGGACCTAAGCTCCTGTAGGCCTCTGAGTCAGGGCCACCATTAGCATTTCTGCATCAGAAACCCAAAATGTAGCAACGCATCTCTCTTCCTGAGCTGTGTTATCAGTGCCAAGTGTGGAGAGCCCCTGCAGTCTGCAGATCTAACTATGAACACAAGCAACAAGCGGCTTTAGAGAGTAAAATAATGATCTGACAAATTGTGAGTGCTCCAGTTTACCTGACAGTAACAGTCAACAGCCTCCACTATGTATTGTGGGGGGGGGAGGAGGGGTTGTAAAAGAAAGGGCGAGAACACTGAATTACATTTAGTTTTATTCTGCTTTAATTACGTGAATTGTAACTTGTAAAAACACAATACTATGTACAAAAACAGGAAGGCCCTTTTTTTCTTTTTTCTTTTTAAATCTCAGGCTGAATAATTTGGCCTCTGTTTAGTGAATTTGTCTCACCATTTTCTTAAACATCAGAAGTGTGTGTTGCGGACAGACTGTTATTTAGAGATGAAGCAGAAATCTTAGTCTGTTGCCTGGCTGGTGTGACTTGTTTTGTGCAGAGATCATGTGGATCATGATGTTTGAGGCTAGCAAAGACATTCTGGTCATGCTGGTGCTAAAGACCCCTGGGGATTTTGTTGCTTTTCTCTGCAGTGTGAGGGAGTAGGTTACTGCTTCAGACTCTCTACATATCCTTGGCCCAACAGATTTACTGACAGGAAATCATAGGTGGGTTACATTAAGGTCTCTCTTATTTGCCGTCTGTGCCACACTAGTTTCATTTTTGATGCTGTAATATTTTGTTTAAAGTCTATGCTTGTGCTATGTTGTGGAATGTTTTCTAATTCTTTATCAAACCTTAATTTTGTTAAAATTATAAATTATTGAAAGTTTCCTGGTGATCTAGAGCTTTTACTGTAGGTCAGTGTTTTGAGGGCATTTCTTTTGGCCAGGACAAAGCTGAAATGAATGGCTGGAAGCTGTAGTTTTTATTTGGAGTCTTCCTTCCAAGGAGTCCAACTCTAACAAGAGTCACATCCCAGAGATCACTCAGCGTCCTCACTGCTGAAATAACCCCCAG